CGGCTGGGACCTGGGCGAGCGGGGGGGGCCCTGGGGTCCCGGGCGAGCAGGTCTGGGGTCCCTGAGGTCCCTGGCGAGCGGGTGGGGCCTTGGGGTCCCTGGCGAGCGGGTCGGGGGTCTCTGAGGTCCCGGCCGAGTGGGTCTGGGGTCCCTGAGGTCCCTGGTAAGCGGGTGGGGCCCTGGGGTCCCTGGGGAGCAGGTCTGGGGTCCCTGAGGTCCCTGGCGAGCGGGTGGGGCCTTGGGGTCCCTGGCGAGCGGGTCGGGGGTCTCTGAGGTCCCGGCCGAGTGGGTCTGGGGTCCCTGAGGTCCCTGGTAAGCGGGTGGGGCCCTGGGGTCCCTGGTGAGCGGGTGGGGCCCTGGCAAGGGACAGGGCTGCACCGGGCGAGGTGAGAGGGAGACCCGTGCAGATGAAGGTGCTCGTCCCGCATTGCCCTGGGACGCTGCCGGGCGTCCCACCGCCCGCCTGGGTGCAGGGCCTGGGCTCTGTGTGGGGCCGGGAGGCCCCCAGGGTGGAAGAACTCGGCTGTGGCTCGGATCTCCCATCCTCTCCCTGGACAAGCACGTCATTAGGTGACGGCCGGCCACTCCCTGTCCGTGGCTTTTGTACAGCCATCCTGGGAAGGGTGAGCTGAAAATTCCCAGGTGGAAAGGTCCCTTGTCCTTGTCTGTGCCTCCCTGGAGCCTGGGCTTTGGGTCTTGGGGCTTAGCACTGTTGCAGTCTGTTGTGTTTAGAAACAGGGCAGACCTTGGTTCTCCGTGTGCCCAGCCGGAGGGGGAGATGACGACGCTAACGCACCGAGGACGGCGTGCTGAGGCGGGAAGGAACTTGGACAAGAAACCCGACAGCGAGGAAGATGCAGCTGCGGACAAAGACCTGAATGAGGATGATTCCGACGACTCCAAAGATATCCGCCTCACGCTCATGGAGGAGGTGCTGCTCCTGGGGCTGAAGGACAAGGAGGTAAGGCAGGCGTCTCCCGTGGCCGCGTGCGCAGCGGTGGCAGCGCTGCCTCTGGGTCCCTGGAGGCGAGGTTCTCAGTGAGCAGCAGAAGGAATCGTACAAGTTCCTCTGAGTCCTCTTCAACAAAGCCAGCCTGGTTGGCTCAAACCACCTTCATCTGTAGCTTAAACTGAGCTGTGGAGGTTGCTTGCAAGTGCTGTCCCACCAGCTCTGCCGCAGGGACTGTCAGAAGCGGCTGGAGGTGAGTGGTGCCTTATGGTCTTGTGCTCCTGCCGTTTGCAGAGCAAAGGTGGGTTTGTTCTTTGCCAGGGTCAAAGAGGTGGGGTAAAAGGAGCCTCACCTGGTGCATGAGATGGTAAATGTCCTCTTCCCTAGCCCTAGTGCACTTTGCTATATGAAACCATCAGCTGAAACGCAGAGACACTCTGAGCACTGGTTCCACTTCGTTAAAAATTGATGTGAGAAACGGCAGGGGCAGGTTTTGAGAGAAGAGAGCGAGGCGAGAGAAGGCAGCTGGACCGAGAGTTGAAAGCAGGTGCAGGATGGGTCTGAGCACAGCAATGGCAAAGGAGGTAGGGGCCACGTCTCTGTTTTTAGGCCTTAGCTGGGCAGGAATGGCATCCTGCAGCTCAGGGCGAGTGGGGCTGGATGGGGGTCTCTCTGCTGGGCGCTCGTCTTGCCCAGGTGTGCCTGGTTACTGGCTCTCCGTGGCAGCAGTGGACGAACTTCACAGCCAGTTATTTTCAGTGGGTTGTTCCCTGCTGGAAAGGGACCCTGGTCAAACTGAATTGTTTTGTGCTTATCAGCCGGTAGGGACTCGTTTCTCAACTCTGCCTAGAACGAGCTGTGGGGAAAGGAGAAGACATCTTGCGTCGAATTCTCTGAGCTGCTTGGCTCTTATCTGCTGTGTTGGTATGCCTTGTCGTCTTTAGTGTGTGCGTCATCTTGATCTCTTTGGGGGAATCTGATGCTGCTATTCCTGTCAAGCAGATGGGGAAATCGAGACCAGGGGAAGCTAACCAGTTGCCCAAGGTGCTTCTTGGGATGGTAATGGCAGAGGAGAGCCTTAAACACAGGTTTTTCAGCTCCAGGAGGACTCTTCCTATCAGCCTGTCTCCCACCCTGAGGAAAGGAGACCCTGTGGTTGTCAAAGCTGTGGTAGATGGGCCACTTTCTCTTCATCTGTTTCTCTGGGTTGAAATTAAGCCCCTGTGAGGTGCCTGAACTTTGTTTTCCGTAAGGCCCTGCTACTGCTGAGTTAGTCGGAGCTGGTACTCAGGCCATGGCTTCTGATGTGGACCACGCTCGCAGATCCGGCAGGGGAGAGCTGCAGGTCGTGTGAGCGACAGCGGCTCGGCTCGTAGCCGTCCTGTTTAACGAACCCAGATAAGATCTAGGATGTGCTGAGCCCAGTACGAAGTAACCGGAGAGCAGGGCTATAAAGAACACATCATGCAAATAATTTTGGAGCAAATATTTGAGAGCAGCCTAGGAGCGTGGCATGGTCTGCTTTCTTCCTGGGCTACGTTTAGCATTCTTGGCTTGGTTAATGTTTTCCTGGGAATGGCCCTTCAGCCACCAGGAAGTTAGGAGAGCACAATAGATACGAAAAAAACTTGTCACGCTTTTATTTTTTTTTTTTTCTCCCCCATCCTGCCCTTCCGCATTCCGCGGCTCAGAAGGAAGACCAGGGGCAGCAGCAGCTTGGCTGTGAGCTGGGCTCCCAGGCAGTGGGTTTTCCCAGCTCTGTTGTTCACTCATGGTTTGATGATTGGAAAAAAAATAAGACAATTTTAGCCAAATCCAATGAGCTCACAGTGTAATTTTATTATTTTAAATACGAGTCTGTCCATCTAGGAGAAACTGGCTGCACACCGGCCTGGCATTTGTTACCAGTCTGATTTCAGAAGCTGAAAGTAACCCAGGAGCTTTCGACTTGTTTGATTTCAGACCCCTTAACATTTTCTAGGGGTAACGTGCCTTCCAGCCCAGTGAACTGAAAGTTTTGGTCACCTCCACACCCTTTTCTGGAGAAGTTGTTCCTAAAGGGCACGTGCAAAAAACGGGGCATCTCCCAGGGCCGTAAATCAGCAGGGCAGGAATGACAGGTTGCTTTGTCTTTCCTCACAAGGAAATGAAGAAAGCAAATAAAGATTTTAATTTCTTTTATGGTTCTCTGTGCTACGCAAGCTGAGCAACCCGGTGTCCAGATGCACTGTATAAACAGACAGACTGGGGACAAGAATTTACCCATGTGGACTGTAAAAACTTCCGTGTCGGGGGGCTGCATGTTCTCAGCCTTTTTTCCTTAGGAAAGCGGCTTGTTAGGCTGCTTTGTCTGCAGTCTCCTGGTAGCTTTTAGACCTCCCCCTTCTCTCCTCCCCCCCATTCCCTCCAGAGAAAAAGAGCAACGAAAAGGGAGTCACGAGCGCGCCGTAGCGTTTCTGCTGTATCGGCATCCCCCTGCAAATAAAAATAAGTGCGTTGTGACTTTGCATCCCGCTTGGCTCACCCTTCCCTTGGGCCCATCGCAAGCGCCAGTGCCTGCCCCGTTCCCAGCCCCGCTGCCTGCCTGGATGGGCCTCTCCCTGCAGCCCTGCCTGCTCTCCGCTTGCCCTGAAATCCAAGGGCTCCCGCCCCGCGTCCGTGCCACGACGCAGCGCTCATCGGGCCGGAACAACAGGGCTTTGTTCTACTCGGCAGATAAAAGACGAGTGGAAGAAGGGAACGGAGAGGTTGCCTCGGCTGTCCCGTTGCTTCAAACCAGGGTCAGCTCTCTCCCGAGAAG